AAAAATTTGTAATAAATAAAATAAACTTTTATTGATAATTTTTAATGATATTTAAATTTTATTATAAATACATTTTGAAAAATTATAATTACAAATATTAACCAAAGCCCCCACTCATTTTATTCTTCACTATCAATATTAATGTCATTTTCGACCAATACACTTCTAATCTCTTGAAGAATATTTATTAAGTCGTTATGGGATTTATTCAATAAACTTCAGAAACACGAACAATCAGAATTAACTAAAGAAGGAATTAAAGAGTTAATAATGGATAAGATTTCTAACTTTTTTAAAGAGCTTTCATTCTTTTTAATGATCCGCCTCTTCACATGTTATTGGCATTGGATACCAAATATCTAATGCTGTTTTGTTGATTAGTTTAGCTTTTATAAATTCAATTCTTTTCATACATGCAATTTCACTAAATCGTTTTATCTCTTCACTTATTTTCCACTCTCCACTTATATTTTGAAAATTATGATTATTAGATTTCAGATTTACAAATTGGGTTTTTCTTATTTGAGCCCGATAGCGACTTGATTTAGTAGTAAAACTAGGACGTGTTCGAGGTTCTTGGGTATCACTTTCAGAATATCCTATTAGATTAAAAAGATTAGTATGCAATTTCAAAAACTTATAGTGTGCCAAGTTACTTCTTATCAAAAATCATATTTATTTTAAAAATCTATAAAATCTTAAGGTTTAAATATTTTTTAAAAATGTAACTAATAAAAACTATTGTTTTCTATTAGTACTATCCAAATTATTGGTAAGAATTTTTTAAAAAGTTTATGATTTAAAGTTTTAAATATTTAAAGCTATTATGCTTTCAAAATTTTGGCGGTTAATATTGTTACTATTGTAAATAGGGAGAGCGAATAAAGTTGCACGGTTTAGCTCCAATAGTTAACGTGATACTGCATTTAAGAATATAATTACTATAAGAGTAAAAATTATCAATATGAGTCTATATGCGAATTATAATCGGTTTAAGGATAATTGATCGGAAGGGATGATAACTAGGGTTAATAGAGAATAGTTTAGCTATGAGCGACTCAGTCTTAATTAGATATTATAATTTAAGAATGATCGATACGTGATCTTTAATTTAATAATAAATGTCCGTAGTAATTAAGTTAATTAATAAATAATTATTTGATATAATTAATATTTTTAAGTGCGATCCTTCATAAGCGTACTACACTATACAAACTATATAATATACGGCTCTTATTTATTCAGGGAAAGGTCTATTCAGCTCTAGTGCTTACTTCCTTTATGTTAAATAAAAGACCCAGCGTATATTTATATACAAAGATAATTAAATATGAGAGGGAAACGATTACTTAAGCGAAGGTAAGGTAATTTTATATTCGGGAAGTTGTAAAGATGTTTTATATAAATTATAGCGATTTATTTATTTATAACTTAATAGATAACTCTGTTCGTAACTCGTAAATTGTAACTTGTAGAAAGGCGAAAAGGACCTCTATTTATACAATTTCGTTCGTGAAGACTATACTAGAAATTCTATCTATGAGTAAGTCGCTTGAATTCTTATGAGCAGTCGTTTACTCCTTTCGTAAGCAGTTGTTTACCCTTTCGTGAGCAGTTGCTTCACCTGTGATTAACCCATTCTAAGGTAACATGAAGCCACACTGCTCATATCACTAAGCTATGCTTATCCGAATATACGCCTCAGCCCCCAACTGCTCACCCTAATGTTTACTTTAGCCCTAACGGCTCATATACTAATATTCATATGCGTAGCTACCACGGTTCTTAAACGTAAACAAAGGTATGAGCAGGACGAAAATATAAATAAATAACTATATACAGGTATAGTAAGGCTATACTAATATAAATAAATAAATAAATAAAGAAATACTTAAATAAATAGAAAAAAATATATAAAAAAACGTGACTTGGCCGGGACATCAATTTACATTCCAACAATATAAAAAATTTTAAAATTTTTTTTTTTTATCTAATCATAATTAGTATATAATGCATTCTGATTGGCTAAATGGTATTTATATATACCCTAAATTTGGTGCATTTGATGTGAAGTGACTTGGTGCATCATAGTACAATTATATGCCACAATTTCCCAATGTCGTTGTGAAGATATCGGGGAAATTAATGATTTGAGTGCTCTATTAATTTCTTCAAGTATTGCATCATGGTCTTGATGTTGATTTGGAAGTTTCGATTATAAGGTTACGATTCTTTCTTAGATTAAATTAAAAACTTCAGGCTTTAATCGTAACATTTGCTCTTCATCATAAATCGCGATTAATCAATAAATTGGATGCTGTTGAGCAGACCAAATAGGCACAAACATTCTTCTAGCTGCAAGTCTTAGTAAAGATCTATTAAAATGAGCTCAAGTACGAAAGTTAATAATTGCTTGCAAATCAAGAAAAATTTGTTCATACTTTAACTTATATATGGGATCAGTTTGTTCTTGGGCCTATTTTAAATAACCTTTGACAGAAGGATCCTTTTCATAAAGAATGTATAGCCACATCAATTCGGATGCCATTGCATGCCTATATATGTTGCATACTGAATCCCATGACTTATGATGATCTGAATATCTTTTGAAAAACTGAAGTTGATTTTTAGTTCGATACTCTTAACAATAAGCAAAATCTCTCATATCAATATCTCAATTTAACTCGATGAATGCTTTTAGCATATTCATTTCTTCGTGAAGAGCACCTGGAATTAATATAAGCCAAGGAAAATCCTTTTTCATTTTCAGTATATGATGATATGGTACTCCATTACACGTAACTATAATCTATTTATACTTATTGTCTTTAACTCTAGATATTTCTTCAATGTGCTCAAGAACTTTCTAAGCATTAGTAATCAAATTGGGATTAATTCCTATCAGATCAGGAACAATTACTTGTGGCTTTTAAACTTCTGGGAACTATCTTTGTGCATCTGATTCTTTAAATCTATAAAGACAGATAACTAGAGACTTGTCAGTAATATTTTTGATAGTAGATAGTTCATTAGATTGTTGATTCATCTCACTAATCGTAGGCAATTTATTATGACAATTTGGACAAACCTGTTTCCTATTATTGATATCAGAGGCTTGACAAAAAGTGCATTTTTTCATACTTCCCATCTGGCTTTGAGAGTTTAACAAGTCATCAATCGCATTTGTTTTCTGATTTTTCTCAAGAAGAAGTTCTTCTAAAATAACTGAAAGAAAGTTAGTAAGTTCTTCATGAATTTTGTCTTTCATACCTGATGTTAAGTAAAATAATTCCTTATATTGTTTTTGAGTAGGTTCAGAACAGAGCCAAGGGTCTGTAGTTTGAATATTGTTGCTTTGATCATAATAAAAGCAACAAAGCTCGTAACAGTGTGAAATATGACTATATTATGTCCATGATCTAAATAGTTTTTTTGACTCTTTTGCTCATTGTCGAAGGCTAAAAATAAAAGACCTTAAGGAAGTGGTGGTAGTTCTATAGCCAGACTTTTTAACCAATTAGTAAACTTAGAATAACTACCAGAACTAATAATATAGTTATCAATATCAATAATCATTTTTGATCTAGCTAATGAATACTTAACTGCTGAAGCGGCCAAATTAATTGCAGATACATATTTTAAGTGCCATGATTCATATGTAGCATCAATAGCTACTGCACACTTAAAAAGCTTTTCTTCTTTAGGTTTATGTTCATTTTTATTATATGTGAGAGTTTCTATAAACTTTATGACGACCGGATTCCATTTAGCAAGCTATTTAGAAGTGGAAAACTTTAAAAGACTATCTAAACTAAACCGCTCCTGGTCTTTTATTAAGTTTAGAATATCATCGTATAAATTGCTTCATTCTTTTTTTGCAATTTCTATTACAGAAAAGATGCAATCTTGTTTGTTAGTAAATCTCTTATTTAGCTTTTTTTTTAATGCTTCGTTTTCAATTAACAATTAACTATTTAAGCTTTCTAACTTATCAATTATTTTTTGAAGAATTTCACATATTGGATCTGGAAAAGATACATGGGACCCAAAATCCTTGAAAGGTTCTTCATCATTAGAAAGTTTTACTTTTTTTCTTTCTAATTCTTCTGAATGTGAAGAAATTAAATTAGTTGCTTTTTTTAATTTATTAATAAAGAAAGGTTTGGTGACAATATTGTTGTAGTGCTATTTGCACATAGAATAACGATCTAAAGAGTCAAGAAATAAAGTAATTTCAAAAAAATACTTAGCAATTTCTGATAATTTTTTGACTAATGTACTAGCTAATGCATTTCGCCAATGTTGCTTTCTTCTGGCTTACACTTCCTTATATGTTTTAATAAGTCACTTGTTAAATGGAATTCAGCAAGAAAGGCGAATATGCAGGGCAGATTTTTGGCCTCAGGTTTCAGATCCATATTAATTGATCTATAAAATATATATAATTTTAAACTTAATTTAAGAAAAAACTAATTTATTAAGGCGTTAGGATTCTCACAGATTCTGAATCTATGTATTGAAAAATATGTATTTTGATAAATAGATTTAACCATTAGAACAATAGAACATCACAAATTCTCTTTAAAAAAAGATTATCAAATGCCAATCACATGTTGAGCATGACTATAGATTATTCTAGAAGTGATCTTCAAATTTTAAAAAATACTGGACTGTATTTAAATAGTCTGCTCAAAGTTTCACACTAGCTGCTATACCTGCAATCCAACTAGAGGATTATCTATTTAAACTCTCTAGTCACAACCGGCCTGTTATTTCTTACCTAACCAAGGTGTAACTCACTATTCCTATACTAGATTTTGTAATATTTGTAGATTTTACACCCTATCTAGAACTACTTTATCCTCAAGGTAAACCTAACAAAGTGGTATATGTACCACACATGTATTTACCAGCATGTTTGGTAACTTTTTCCTAATCTAGTACTTGTTGTGTTGCTATCACTGAGTTCATATTTCAAGCTATCTTTTAGGATATAACCTTCTTAATTTAGTAGTTGTTACATACTTCTCACCCTTGTATTTGAGTTTACACAACCCCAGCATTCATATTCAAACTTTTCTTCTTTTCTGGATTTTTTATCGGTCTTTTCCTACTTCTAGCCAGCAACATGAAAGAGTTAGTTTACCTAGACCTTAGATGTTTATATAGTCTTCCTTTTCTTAGTATATACTTCCAGAGCACATGTTCTTTTTCTCTGGTTTGGTGATCTGGCGGTTTGGTTGGTATGTCCCCCTACTTAAGGACCTGGTCACTTGGTTCTCTGATCTCAGTCTCTGGTTTCAAATTCGATCCTCCTGCAGTACTGTCAAAGATTGCACTATCTCTTAACTCGGGACTTGCCAAATGGGTTTTTGGTTCTTCAATATCTCAGATTTATTATGCCAAGACTTCTATTCTAGATGGTGTGACCAAGATTACAAATTTCTAGATTTTACCAATTATTGAATAGCCATTAACCATATCACAGTGCTATTTTTTGAAAATGTCATATGTGGGATTCAAACTCTAGACCTGCTGTTTAGGGGTGTGACAACTTTACTACTTCACTAAGTCGCTATGCCCTAGAAGTTTTTGTATTATTTAAAAAAATATAATATTCTATTTAAAAAAAACTTTGGATCTATAGATACAAGTAGATACTTGTATTTATTTTATAGTAAGTGATAAACTTTAAACTTATTAGCAGATAGTATATAAAAAATATAGTTTGGTGCAAAAAGATTTGTACACCAAAAAAAATTTAATAAAAAATTTTATATATATAAATTTGCTTTTTTTTTTAAATAAAATAAATCAAGAAGATTTAAGAAATATAACAATATAAAAAAAATAATTATTTGTTATCAGAATTGTTATTATTATCAAATGAAAAAGATTCATCCATTAGATTATTTAACAAATTTACCTAATGATCAAATTCTATATATTTTTTCATATTATCAAGCAACCTATACCAAAACCTAGTAATTATTTTTGAATTTATTTTTTTTTTGAAAGCAAATAGAAGTTTGTTTTTAATATTTAGAAAACTTGTATACAAACCTAACTTTGACACCTTATCTTTTACAACTACCCAAATGTCTTCTATTAGCTAAAGCTTATAGTGATATAGAGAGGTAAAAAAATCTAATAACTATACTTTTTAGCTATTTCTACACAAGTGAATGAAACTTTTTCTTTGTTTTTTTTTAAAAGTTATAAAAGTTCTGCCTTACATATTATCTGAGTATTTTATTTTTTTTTTAGTTAGCCAATTTATAATTTCTTGTTTTTTTAAGTTAGACAATAGGATTTGTTTAACATGCAGTTTATTGTAATATGCTCCATCTATATAAATATTAACAGATCCATATTTATTATTAATTAATGTACAAAGCTTATCAAATAAACTTTTGAATGATATTTTATACATACACTCTTTCCAACGATTATTTGTACCAAAATATAACAAATCTTTTTTTTGAAAAAACAGTAGACTATGGTAGAAAAGAAAAGCATAAGACTGATAAAAACTATAAACTAGCACCTGTTATTTAGAGATAGTTCTCATATGCTACCTGCTAACAGGCTTAGAGCTTATCACTCACTGTGGGGATAGCATTTGTTATTTAGAAGTAGTTCTCATATGCTACTTGCTAACAAGTTCAGGATTTATCACCTACTAACAAGAAAATCAGCAGTAAACTTGGCTTTTTACATTCTGCTACTTTTGGAAAAAAATATATGCTTTTTTAAAAAAAGTACAAGGGCTATCTTCTACACCATCACCCACTTGATTATTTTTCAAAATTTTTTAAAAAAGTAGGCAAAACAGCTTACTCATGTCATAAGATCAGCATTGTTCATCTCTTTCAAATTCAGACAACCTAGTAGATTACAACTATATGTTTTGTTTACCAATAGATATGGTACTACTCCATGGGTCTAGATCCTCGATTAAAGAAATATCTGAAGATATCATAATTGGAAAGAAATTTATACATTAAGGTGAAGCTTTACAGTAGAGATATACAAATGTTGCATTTGTTATATAATTTTTTAAAACCTTGCACAGGTTATAATAGTGTAAAGGACACTTTTCTTCTTTTTTTTATCTTTTTTTTCATGTTCTTTCTTTTCGCTAGTCAGATTGCCTGGCTTTTTTTTTGCTTTTTTTCATCTTGTCTTTTAAATATTAGATTTATTATTTAGATTATATAGCTTTTTCTCACTTACTATTCCCCTTTGTTATTCAACTTCTCTTTTTTCCCTTTCATATATATTCTGTTTTTTTACTTTCTTTGGTAAATATAGATAGCTATACTATTGAGATTTAAGTAAGAAATTCTTAAAGAAAGGCTTAGACTTTCTGACAAAGCTTCTAGTTTCATATATTTTTTACAGACTAGTGCGGCAGGTCGCATATAATAATATTTCTTGTTAAACATATCGAGTAATATCAGACTTAGAAATTAAGAAATTGATATTGTAACTTTGTTATAATAAAAACTTAATAAAAGCTCTTGGCAAGACTGCCTAAGTTTTAAAAAAAAATAAAAAAATATACTTTTAAATATGTCAGAATTAAAATTTTCATAGTAGCCAATCTGATTTGAAACCAGATTGGCATTCTTGATTATATTCAGAATGTTTTTCTATATATCTGTATCATTTCTCTTATACTTATAATTATCTGGCAGTTTAATTGATAGATTTCAAATATGTACTAAATTTAGAATAATTTTACTCTAAAGCTTATTAGTTTTATTATTACAAAAAACAATTATTATACCAAAAATTACTACAAAAGAGCCATGTTCAGGTGTATAAACAACACCTTTATAAGAAAGCCAGGTATTATATAAATTTTTGTAAAGTAATAGTATGATCCATTTATAAAAATTCTAGATAATGTAAAACTTTGTTATTATTTTCAAGATTAGCAAAATGATATTAAAGATATTAATAATGAAAAGCAACATTATTTAATGATTTATAAAGATTATTTCTTCATTTATTATAGCTATAATAATAGCCTAAACACTTCAATATTCAAAAAAGTTTTCACTTAGACAAAATAAACCTATTGTCTGATAAAAATTTTAATAAAATTAGTGTAGATAATTGCATACTAGCATTGTTGGTATATAAAAATTTTTTATATAAAAGTGCTATAAGTTCTTCTTATAGCTATACTTTAGATTGGCCAAGATTTTTATAAAGTAAAAATGAATTATTATTATGTTTGTTCTAATCAGCTACCATACT